AGGGTGGGGCTGTCGATCTCCTGGGGAGCAGAGGGAGCAGGGACGCGGTCCTGGAGGAGCGGCTAGAGGCAGAGCTCAGGGCCGTAGGTGTGGAGAGCGTCCCCCGCCCCGCTGGGAGCCCCCCCTTCGCTCCGGCAGCTGCCCGGGGTGAGGCTCGGCGCCCTGTCCCTCGGTCCCCGGCCCAGCAGCGCACTCAGCCAGGATGGCAGCTGCCCCAGCCGAGCCGCTGCCTTCCCTGGAGGGGGAGGCTCTGACCCATGTGATGCTAGCTGACCGGGGCAGGCTGGCTGAGTGTCTCTCCTCGCCCTGCAGCCCCCTCGACTCTGTCTATTACCACCGGGAGCTGCTCTGCCACTCCCTGGACAAGCTGCGAGTGGACCTGCTCACCGTCACCTCGTGCCACGGCATGCTGGAGAAGCGGGAGCCCCGGCTGGACAAGCTCTTCCCAGACACGAGCACTCCGCGGCCGCGCCGCTTCGCAGGGAAGAGGGTGAGCTGCCGCGCCGGCTTTGGGGCTGCGTCGGGGACGGCGAGCGCGGCCAGCAGACTGTGCGATGGCCCATGTGTCGGGGCCTTGCTGCCGCCCTCGCGTCTCTGACTCGAAAGGTGTCGTGTCCCAGAGGGCTGGAGCCTTAGACTGGGCGGAGCGTGGGGAGTAGAGAGTCTGTGAGATCCCGCGTCAAGGCATGGGAACCGGTAGCCTGCCAGGAGCCCCAGTGTGTCCACGTCATCTCAGCACCATGAAATGCCCTCTGGCAGCACCGCACGCGTGTTCCTCAGGGCAAAAATTAGCGTCTCGTTTCCGAGGAGTTTTGTTCTGTCCTCCTTTTAATGCTGTCGCTCCGTTAAGCCGTGAAGAAACTGATGGAAGTGCTGTATTTGGGGCGTCAGCCCCTGCTGCGGTAGGTGGGCCGGGGTGGCAGGAGCCCCGAGCGAAGCCCCTGCCGGGCAGCAGGGCCGGAGCTGCAGCGGGGGGGTGTCAGGGCAGAGGCACCCTCTGCCCCTGGGGCATCCACCGGCCCCAAGGGGGGCTGCAGCCCCCTGCTCCCGGCGGCAGGGAGCTCCCTCTGCGGCTGCACAGAGCTGGGATGGGCGGCCGGGAGGCTGCACGCGCGTCTCTTGCTGAGAAGCTCCCACCAAGAGAAGGGCTCTTCGGGAGGTGCTTTCTGTCGCCGTTGCGGTCAGGCTCGTTCCCCGCTCTTGCGGGATCGCTCGGGGCTTTTCCCTGGGGCGCTTCTGCGGCTCTGCTGCTCTGCCGCCCGCGCTCTGGTTTCTCGTGGTAGCAGGCTGCGGGGTTTCTGTGCCTTTAGTCTCGGGCAGGGAGAACCAGCCCTGTTTCAAGCAGGACCTAGGAGAGGTACCGGGTAAAGAAGCCACCGAAAACTGTTGCGTGGCCACACCCGGTACCTCGTTGTCTGCTCCACGTAAAGGCTTTAGCTCCGCCTGGGGCGGCATGGTGCCTGGCTACGGTGGAGGGGAGGAGCCCCGGGGAGCGTTTGGCCCCTCGGATAAGGCATCGCAGCATCTCGGAACCTGCCCATCGCCCCTGTCTGCTTGCCCCCAGGTGTTCTTCCTGAGCAGCAGAGTCCACCCGGGAGAAACGCCCTCCAGCTTCGTCTTCAACGGCTTCCTGGACTTCATCCTGCGGGAGGAGGACCCCCGCGCCCAGATGCTGCGGCGGATGTTCGTCTTTAAGCTCATTCCCATGCTGAACCCCGACGGGGTGGTGCGAGGCCACTATCGGTGAGTGAGCCCAGGCTGCAGCTTCGTCAGGGTGCAAGCTGGGCGGGTCTCCTGGTTTGGAGCCTGCTGTGCCTTTCGCGATGGCTGCGAAGAACAGTCCCAAGATCCTGCGCCAGTAGAAGAGTGAGCTGAGAGGCCCGCGGGCTGCGGCAGGCTCTCCCCCTCCCCCCCCCCCCCCCCCCCGCCCCGGGATCTCTGGCGAGGGCTCGGGGCTGCTGTTGCCTGCGTAGGTCACCTCGTGGATCGGGGCTTGTCTAGCTCAGGCGAGCAACGCTGCCCTGCGCCTTTGAGGCGCTCAGACACTGTCCCGTCCTTGCTCTCCCTGGCGTGTCAGAGCTGGGCCAGCTTTCAGGGAGGAGGGAGAGGGATCACTCGGGGCTCTGTCTCGCTGAGGCAAGTGCCACTCCAGGAGAGAGAGAGGTTCTCGGCTGCTTTGGGGCAGAGTCTCTGCCCGCTTGCCTGCGAGGGGATGGTTTGGCCAGTTGTACTCCAGGATAGAGCCCAAAGCCTCGGCCATCGCGAGGTAAGGTCGGGTCTGCCTTTGCGGAACGGATGGCGCCCTGCGAAGGACCTCACGTCTCCTCTGCTCTCTCTGCAGAACTGACTCCCGTGGGGTAAACCTGAACCGCCAGTATCTCAACCCCGACGCCGAGCTGCACCCTGCAGTGTACGGGGCCAAAGCTGTCCTCCTCTACCACCACGTTCACAGCCGCGTCCTGCCGGGCTCTCCTGACTGGAGGACGTACGTCTCGCCACTCGGCACCAGCTCGCTAAGCACAAAATCTTCCAACCATTCCGTCCGCAGCAGCGCCCCGTCCCCGGAGGCAGCCCTATCGGAGCTGGAGAAAGCCAATAACCTCCGCAACTCACCCAGCACCTGGCGTGCCGGCACGTACTTCAGCCCTTCTCAGGAACCCCAGCTCTCGGGAGCGCCTGCCGCCGAGCTGGGCAGCAAGGACCAAGCTGTCTGGATCCTCCCTTCAAGCCACACCGTGGAGCACTGTGAGGAGGAAGCCAGGAGGCCTCCACCAGCACCTCTCCCTGAAACCATCCTGCCCCAGGACAGTGGGCTGGCCTACTACGTCGATCTCCACGGGCACGCCTCCAAGCGCGGCTGCTTCATGTACGGCAACAGTTTCAGCGACGAAAACGATCAGGTGAGGGCAGGGGGTAGGAGTACAGAGGTGCTGGAGCAGGCTGGGACCCTCCCGCTGCTCTGCCCCCTCCCCAGGGTCCCGCACGCTCCCTTCCACTGCTGGGAGAGGGGGTAGGAGGTCCCTGTCACGCCAGAAACTGAGCTCCCTGTCGGGACAGGGCTGGTGCCCAAGGAGAGGGCGCTGGGCTGGCCGCCCTCCCTGCCTTCGGTGCTTGGTGGGGTTTGCTCTTCCTCTCCCTCTCCTCGGCCTGTGATCGGAGCAGCTGCAGCAGGTCTCAGCTTTCCCCCGGGAGCTGGCGTGGGCAGGACAGAAGAGCTGCCCCTTCTTCTCTTCGTGGTGTACTCTGCGCTGGGTCAAAAACTGGCTGGACGGCCGGGCCCAGAGAGTTGTGGTGAATGGAGTTACATCCAGTTGG